AGCCCGTGATTCCACCCGCAGCAGCCAGACGCCGGAGCTTGCCGTCACGGGCACCAGGGCCTGCCCGCCGCCATCGTACTGCCCGGAGCTCCCCGCACCGGAGCCGAGTGCGGTCAACACGGAGCACCTGCACGCGTCGAAGCCGATGCCGCACCGGAGGCCGAAGCTGAGCGCCGCCGGCACCAAGGTAGTCGCCGTCGTCGCTCTGTTCTCTCCCTCTGGAACGGGTCCCACCTGGAGCAGAGGCAGTGGCTGCACTCACCTTAGGAAGGAGAAGGGGAGGAGCTTGACGGAGGCGACGACGTTTGCTCAAACGTGACGGAATGCTATACCCGTGTGACGATGCATTCTTTCGATGGTATTTTACGAAGCGACAAAATTTGAATGGTATTTTTCGGATACGACGATCTTTCAATGCTACGAGACCAATTTTCCCTTTGGTTTAAGGCCAAAATTTGGCTGGCCCACGAAAAATTTGGCAAATGTCCTCCTTCACAACACAAAAAAGAAAGAAAGGAAAACCCGGCAAGTTCAAAGAACCTGACACAGTGCGCACGTGTCAGCAGCCGGTAGGTCAAGACAAATAAGATGATGTGTTCATACCGAGGCTTCAAATGATCAACTTTGTAATCTTAATCTATATTTATATAATCCGTTTGACGGTTTCCTAAAAAATTATTAGGACTTGCTAGCGTCCGGACGTCTGGACGCCCATGCTTACCATCATTTTTCTGCACCGTTTTCGCGCGCCCACATGGGTCCCGCACCACCCCAAATGTCACCACATCGAGAAGAGAGGGAGGAGGTGGTGGATACCAAGCCGGCATCGGAAGGAGACACCGATGCGAGGCAGCAGAAGGCGAGGAGGAAGATATAGCATCCGATCTACTTTTAAAACATTCAGATGCAACACTTGCAACATATGTCTGAAGGCGGATGAAACACTTGAAACATGCATCTGAAACGCTTGCAAAAAACATATGGAAAACACTTGAAACCATTGCAAAAACATACGCAACATCCAGATAAAACACTTGCAAACATATGTGTGAAACATATGCAACATCGAGACAAGCACACTTGCAACATACGTCTGAAAAATAGATGAAACATTGGGAATAAAAGCTTGCAACATTCGTGTACAACCATTGCAACATATGCAATATCTCGATCTACTTTTACAATATCTATTTGAAACACTTGCAACATACCTCTGAAACATCTAAAACACTTAAAACAGACGCTTGCAACATGTGCTTTCAAGCACAACATCTACTTACTGCTTGGACGAAAATGGAGGCTCATCGACGCGGAGCTTGACGCCGGCATGGAGCTTGATGCTACGGAGTGGCGCGGAGGTCGCCGGTGTGGAGCTCATCGGCGACACGAACCTCGGCAGGGGCCGCGACAGTCGGAATGAGCGCAGCCGCAATGGGAGACGCGAGTACAGGCAGGGGAGGGTGAGATCCATCCCACGAGTAGGTAGGCCAGGGCGTTCGTCTGACCGAACTGAATCGATCGGTTCTTTGGTTATTTCGAATGTTTGGTCATCTAATAATGGAGACCGATTGATTAGTTTCAGAACTTAGGACCGAACAAGTTCGGTCTCGGTTAGTTCAGTCTGGTTTCGGTCATAACTGAACTAATAGACAAAACAACTACTAAATAGTATAATTTTGTATCAAATTTTAGCGATAGTTTTCTATTTTAAGGCAAAAATGACAATACAACATTTATATTAAACAAAGTGATAAGAGCGATGGTTGATATAAACAAATTAGAATAAATATTATATCACTATTAATAGTGTAAAGTACACATTATATCAACAAAATCTAAATATTCGGTTAGTTCGATTACCAGAGGCATATAACCGAACTAACAGTAAAAAGTTCGGGTAGTATGGACTCGAGACCAAACTAATGATCAAAAACTTCGGTCTTGGTCTCGACTAGTTCGGTTCGGTCTTCTGTCAATTATGCCCAGGGCTACGAGCAAGATCGCGCAGTGGGGGCGTGCGCGCGAGCGAGGGCGGTACGGGGGAGGGCGGGATCCGTCCCGCGAGCATGGGCGCACAGCGCGTAGACGCTGCAGAGCGAGCAGGTGATGCGGACGAGGGCGCCGTGGTCTGTTCCGCGAGCGAGCGCCGTGAGTGGGTCCATCCGTTCGGATGGACGACCGAGCATGAGCATTACCGAAATTTATTCTGCAAATCAACATGCATATTTGTTACTACAAACTTCCAAAATTTTGATTTAGCGCTTGAAGATGGGAAACCCTAATAAAATATACAGTAATTCCTTAAAGTGGGAAATATGGGAGCCCAAAAATATCTTCTCGCTTCTAAAAGTTCTGAGAGAAGTCCAGAGATAGATTGAGGCATGGGAAACCCAAATAAAATACTTGGTGTTCAAAAAAAATATCACTACAAGCTTCCAAAATTTTGATTTAACTCAACAAAAATGAAAAAAATATACTAAGAATTTTTTTGGAAAAATCGACAACTAAAGCTTGAGATGCAATTGTCATGAATGCACTCCGTCACATGCTTGCACGATGGGTACTTTTTAAAAACATTATACACAGTGTTCGCCTAAACGTCAGTAAACGGTAAACAGTGGTAAACTGTTTTGTTTAGGTGGTAAATGAAAATTAAACGATTGACCGTTTAAATGGTGAAAAAACGGGAAAACGGTCTAAACGGCCTAAACAGAACGGAGATAAACATCATTAAACGGGCTAAACAGTTGTTTAAACGGCTGTTTAGGCGAACACGAGATAAATCTAGTTCAATTTTATATGGATAAATTTGTATACTTAAGTTTATTATATTTATAAATGTGTACACTTGATATGTTACATGCATAAATATCTATATTTGGTTCTTTTCACATGCATAAATATATATACATACCAAAATAATGGATTTTTACTCGGATAAATATGTATAAATGCTAAAATACTTGATTTTTTACATGCACATATATAATTATATGTATTTTTTTTAAAAAGTACAAAATCGTTTAACTTCGTTAAAACACCATGTAAACAGTTAAAACGCTAAACGAAAGGCGACCGTGTAAAGACCGTTTACCATTTAGAAAAACATTGATTAATGTTTTGGGATGTGTATGGATGTTTCCCCATTTTCATAGAGCTAAACCTTTTTTTGAAGTTTCTAAAAAAGTTTTCAGAAGACCTAAATTTTTTTATTTGGATTTTTCATATCCTAATCTATCTCTATAATTTTAAGAATTTTTAAAAGCTTAGAGACATTTTATATGATTTGAAACCTTATAAAGTATTTATCGATTTTTTAAACTAAAGAAAGGACAAGACCGTCTTTAAAACCACTCAAACTAAGTAGGGAGGTCATTTGAACTGTCTTGAAAGTTTAGGGGGTAAGAGGTTTGGTTTGGTGTTTGGGAAGAAATCAGACTATGGGGATAGTTCATGGAGGTAGAATAATTTTTTTCCTCACCGGGAAACAATAGACGAAGAACTAATGGTGTGGGCCTTTCGTGGTTGGGCCTGTTGCAATTGTCCATCAACTGGGCCAAACCTGAGGCAAAGAATTGTCCATCAAATAAAATCAACGCTATCGCTAATTCTCCTATTCATCTTCCGCCGCCAGCAAGGATGGAGCGTTTCTCAGCGCCGTGCCGCCGTGGCTAGCTGGGGCAGCTGCTCGAGGCCCGAGCCTGCCGCATGGGGAGCTCCGACTGTCACCGGTTCATGGCTAACCGGCAGGAGGAAGAATTTTGTCTACAAATGTTTACCTGCACCAGTGCATGCAATCCCCAGCAGCGACCTCTCCAAGTCACCCTACACAAGAAAGATTGGCTGGCCGACAACAACCTCCGCCGTCGCTTTCCTGCGGGTACGTTGGTCATCACGCTCTGTATTGTTAATGTTGCCTGTCGTATTGTTTCGGATCCAAACCTGTTTCCGCGACGTCGTTCGCAAGAATTTTGTCTACAAATGTTTACCTGCACCATTGCATGCAATCCCAAGCAGCGACCTCTCCAAGTTACCCTACACAAGAAAGATTGGCTGGCCGACAACAACCTCCGCCGTCGCTTTCCTGCGGGTACGTCGGTCATCACGCTCTGTATTGTTATTGTTGCCTGTCGTATTGTTTCGGATCCAAACGCGTTATGCTGTTTCCGCGACGTCGTCAGCAAGAATTTTGTCTACAAATGTTTACCTGCACCATTGCATGCAATCCCCAGCAGCGACCTCTCCAAGTCACCCTACACAAGAAAGATTGGCTGGCCGACAACAACCTCCGCCGTCCCTTTCATGCGGTTACGTCGGTCATCACGCTCTGTATTGTTATTGTTGCCTGTCGTATTGTTTCGGATCCAAACGCGTTATGCTGTTTCCGCGACGTCGTCTTTGCATAAATAGATCCACCCACCAGGTTCATCTTCCTACCTTTCTTGAACCAACCACTCGGATCAAAGCCATGCTGCACTGCCCTTAACAGGTGATTGATTTGGTTCCTTCTATCTGCCTGTCGCTCGGCTTATATATAATTCCTCAATAGTTTGTTCTACTAGGGGAAAATGTTATGTTGTTTCATCTTTTATGATTCTAGGATCTGGTTTCGTAGTGCTTCACTTCTTATAGTTCTTGAAAACATGTATATATTCCTTTTCTCTTCCTTGGGTGCTTCAATTCTCAAGGTTTCCGAAGAAAAGATGTTTATGCCCTTTGGTCTTTTAGTAGGATTTAGAGATGTGTGTGTCTTGCTTAGCATGTGATTGTTGAAACGCAATTCTATCTGTATCAGATCCATGCAGGATTTATGAATTTGACAGGCCACACCCAGGAATAGTTGAAAGTTGTCTAAAAATTTGGGAAGATACGCCGCATTTCCGTATTAATGGAGAACCAGTCAGCTCACCCTCATCATGGTATGGTCGATCAAGGGTTTCGCACGTTCACTACTATTCCACTGAGTTCTTCAGTCCCACCGATTATGATGCCGATCTGGGATGTACGTACCAGGGACTTCAATTCCTCAGACTGAGGAGGGAGGTGAACAAGAACAACTTGGCAGTTCTAGTGACAGCGACGAAGAGGATGATGGCGAACAAAGAGACGATGGCCATGTTGCCAGTGCCAGCACAACGGAAAGGTTCTGACTGTCTCATGAAGTTCTCGAGCTGAAATCGTGGTTACAAATTAATTTCTTAATTTGTCTTTCGACACTTAATTAACTGTACTTTCACTCGACAGACATGTGGTAGCTCCAGCTGAAAGGAGAACCAGGAGCGGGACTCCTCACAGAAGGTATGCATCGATTTTGAATAAACCGGCTCTTTCTGTCTTCTTCTAACCTTTCTATTTCCCTTTCCCCTTATTCTGCAAAGTTTAAATAAACGCACTATCAAGACATAGGACAAAGTTAAAGCGACCCATAATTTGAAACGGCGGGAGTAATAGATCTGTCCAAACAGAAAATTTTCATGCAAGTAAAAATTGTTAAATGAAGAATTGATGGGCAATGATATGCAATTAATTAAGTCTCCCATTCTCTCTCCTTGGGGCCATGATATGCAGTTTTTTTATGCATTCTTAATTAATGCTTTATGAAGTGATGAGTAAGCAAAAGGCATGCAATTGAAGCATATGAGAATTTGACACTTGTATTTCTGAACGTGTGCTTAATGATCAACGAATGTTATCGGTGCTAAAAAAACTGTGATACGTGGTCCATCCCTGAAATTCTAAAAGAAAAACTGAGTAGGATGCTCAGAGTTTTACAGTAAGTGAAAAGGGCCATATTGTATTGGATTTACTCTGTAACCTGGATCATACTTTGTCTTGGTCTCTGTATGAATCCTGTTTTCGGAATTTTGGTAATTTCGGAGGAGGCCAAAAGGAAAATCCAAAATTTTGCATTACACTAATACATATGCTTTATAGTAAATATGTAACTCTAGGCTCATATTTCCTATTTTATGTTGCATATTTTTCTACTCAATAGATGTGTAGTCATAAATCATGCTAACATCTTGTTTAGATCTAATTTGTTTTCAAAAAAATCATCACTTGTTGAAGTCTAAAATTTTTTGGTAAAATTTCATGAATTTTGGGGATGGCCGAAAAATTTCGAATACTGAAATGGAAAACCTGGCAGTTTCTGTGGTTCAGTTTAAATTTACTTTTTTTTGTCACCGTTCTAACAGCACACATTTCGTTGTTTTCATAACTCTAATTCCTACACTAACTGGTATTCATAATGCCATTTCTCTGACATCGGTGAAAAAAAGAAGGCTGAAAAAAAGAAGGCTGACATCGGTGCAGCTGCAACGGCCATCTTCACATCCCAGTTCATCTGTTGAGAAGAACCCAACTTTTGATCAAGACATGTCTCTTGAATTGCTTACTAAGGCTTTAGTCTCCAACCTTTGCTCCTTTTCATTGACAAGCACTACAAATTATAGGCGATTTTTGGCTGGAATCTGTCCTACATATGACATGGTATCGGAATCTGCTATTCAAGAGAAGTTTCTCAGTATTTTTCAGAACCAAAAGCTGAAGCTGAAGGAGGAAATATCACTTGCACCAGGGGGATGTTTCCTGACACTAGCAAAGTGGGTCCTTGGAACTAAATACTTCTTATGTGTGACGGTACATTTTATTGACAAAGAATGGAACATGATTAGAAGAATCATTAGATGTAGCATTGCAGGGATTAAGGAGGAAAGCATGGATGGTTATACTAGCATGTTTCCCGATTTTCAGTCTTACCAAAGTTTGGATAATAGCTGGCATTATTATGATGAGGATGCAGAACCTGACGCAAAAATAATATTAAAAGAAGTAATCCAAAGTTGGAGTCTTGACGGGAAGCTTATAGGAATTTCATTCCCCATGTCATTATTTCATGCAGATATATCGGGCTTGCAGAAGAATCTTACAGAACCTAATTATCTTGTCAGAAACAACTTACTAAGTTTACCTTGCATAACAGAATTTCTCGGTAAGATTATTAGTTTTTCCAAAGATGGGATTGTCCAAAATCTAAGTAAGGACTGGTTTAAGTACATGACATGCTCCCCACTGCGTACGGAAAAATACAAAGAAATCCTTCTGCAACTGCAAATAAACCGACCCACTTTTTGTTCCCAGCAATGGTACTTGGCTTTCTACTCCCTGGAGGCTGCTCTGCAATTTCACAAGGTCTTTCCAAACCCTGAGCTGATAGATTCAAAAGCTTATGCTAGGCCATCTCATAACAGAGTACAGGATACAGAGGATTTTTGTAATATTGCAAGGCTGGTTTATGACGCTATTCAACAAGTGGCGTCCAGGTCCAGCCCAAGCAATGTGACATTGAATTCAAATTTTCACACAATTCGGAACTTGAAGATAGCTCTGACGAGGTCATCTGAAAAGGCACAAAATCTTTTTTATCATGATTCAATGATGAAAAAGTTTGATGAGCTTTGGGAGAAATGGTACCTGTGGCTATCTTTGGCTGTCGTTCTAGACCCAAGATATAAAATCAGGTTTCTTTATCGTTCCTTGAAAGAAGCTTTCGGTGGTGATGCTAAAAAGTACACGCTCGAAGTGCGTGGAAAGATTTGCGAGCTTTCTTTTCGGTACTCTTTTCAAGCTAATCAGCAGAGTGGCGAGTGCTCAAATGACAGCAACACTGAAGATGTACCCGTACATGAGGAACTGGGAGAGCTCAACCACTACCTTGAAGAGGAATGTGTTCCTGAAAATGTTCCTTTCGATATTCTGAATTGGTGGAAGGGCAATGCTTCGACGTATCCGACTCTTGCCTTGTTGGCACGCGACATCTTAATGATACCTGCATGCGTTGTCTCTGCTGAATCTGCATTCGATGAAACTGATGAACGGGTGAGCCTTTTCAATCGGAAACTGAGTCCTGAAGTAGTTGAAGCCCTCATCTGCACCCAGGATTGGATCAAATCTTCAGGTACAAGTACCACTGGCTCCTCATCTTTCGAAGTGTTACCGATCTCTTTCATTAATGGTAGATAGAAACAATATCCTGTAAGTGTAATGTTGCTCTTCTTTAATTTCTCAACAGAAACAAAGGACGATGTCTGTGGAAACACAAACATGCCAGCTTAATGCATGGCAAGGTATGCTTGCCATCTTTGTCTTCTTTTCTCTTCCATGTATAGGTTCTAAAGTCTATTGAAATTATAAACCTCTCAGAGGTCACATTTTTTCTTTTGTTTTTGTCACAACTGATAGCCCATTGTCTCGTCCATCAATTGGCACCGTAAACATGTACATGCACCCAACATAAGACTTAAGACATACACCTCAATTTCCACTACCTTTTCCGTTTGCTCAAAGGGAAACCCACATTATATTGGAAGTCAGCCACAACTGGTAGTGGATCAGTTGCTAGCCAGATCTTTAAGGAGATTTTTGTTCTTCTAGTCCAGATGTTAAGTCACTTTGCTATCTTTTTCATCTGTATCTGCTAAATAATTCTCAGCATTGAAACAGAGACAAGAATACCTGATATTTGAATTGGGAAAATAATGAATATGATTAGTCTCAAATTGAATAAATTATTCGAAACATTCATTTTCATTGTTCAAAGTTGCATGAAGTTTCAATTGGTCTCTTGCATTTCCTATTTTAAATAATTAATGTACTAGATATAATTACAGTGCATACCATTCTCTATCTAGTCACACTTTGATAACCATATTGGAACCTCGATCTAGTCCCGCATACTTGTCTCATAGAAGGTTCACAAAAAAAAAAACATGTGGGTTGTGAGGGGTTGTGAAATTTTCCCTTTCCATTGTTAATTGTTTAAATATAGATCTGATGCTGTTTTGATTAATTAGTCCTTTGATTTGTGTTTAAACAGCTCCTTCGGTCTTTTCACTGGTTCAACAAGAAGTGAAGAGTGGTTTCGACCTCATCTGCACCTTTACCTATCTCAGTATAATGCATCAGTGTTGGGTGACGCCTTGACAGAAGGCGAACTGCCCATGGTTTGTAATAACTTAATTGTTTTACTGCATTCACTGTGAAAATATAAACAATACTTTCCTGTTTAGTAATTATTGTGCAGTACGGAGATGTACTAGTGTGATATATACTCCTATGTAGTAGTGAAAGATATGGAGAATATTTGTCCATTAAGTCATCACTAAAAATATGGAATAAATACCATTCTGCCGTGCTGCATTGGGCTGTCGACTGTCGACACCTCCACCCATGATTTCTGGACTATTTTTTTGTTGTTGAAAATAATACATTTTTTTTGCTGGCATGGCAAAACAGTACCATTTGAGAATTTGAAAGATATAAAAGACTTTCTCTTTCGCCTCATCAAAGGACGAGTTTTCAAAAGAAAAGAAATTATTGTTCTCGTGTTCTAAGTTATAAGTCGTCGTTCTAACTTCTTAGTCAAACCTATTTATTTGGTTCAAGTTTATTGAAAAAGATGTTAACATCTCTAAAATAAATCAAATCATATAGTTGTACTCAGTCAAACTATTTTATTGACTAACTTTATAGGGATGAGCACAACATCTATACACCAAACAAGTATAGAGTGAAAAAAAATCATGATATATCTAATAACACTATTTTGGTGTCATAAATATTATTACACTTTTCTCTAAAGTAGGCCAAACTCAAAATAGTTTGACTTTGGATAACTCTAGAAGTTGATTTATTTTAAAATGAGGAGGACGTATAATATCAAATAAATGCATTATTAAAGCATATTTCATGATATATCTAATGAATTTTCTTTGATGTTGTAGAGGTTTGTGTATTTTTTATGAACTTGGTTAAATTAGAGAAGTTTGATTTAAAACAAAACTAAAATGACTTACGGTTTAGAGCGGTAGGACCGTAGGAGTATATACTTTTACAATAGCCGCAACCTTATCATACTGCTACAGTATTGCCTAAAGGCATGCCTAACAGGTATAGTTAAGGTATGTTCAAAGAATAAGTTTATGATAGGTGTGGGCCAGTGGCAGAGGAGAAAAAGATTTTAAGTTTAAGGTATGACAAAGTAATTAACCAACCAAATTTCACTGTCTTTTACCCATCTTTATTTGATAATCTTCACAATCTCACTGTGCTTCATAACTCAAGTAACTAACCAGCCAAATAAATTAATAACCAACAAATTGAACAAACAACAATGAGAAAAAAGTTTCAGGTTTCAAAGTTGGCCTTACTGTGCGTTCTGCCATCGACCGCTTGTGGTGTCGTACTCGGGATATTAGGTTAGGATAAAGCAAAGAAGTTTCCACAACTGTAATTTTAGCTTGCAGATGCGTACGGAAAGTACTGTAAAAAAAGTTTGCACAACGAAAAATACAAATTGCTTTATGCCTATGTGACTTATATATCTACTGTCAGTTGATTCGACCATTTCCACGAAAGTTAGAGGAGAGGTCACTTCCGAGGTCGCGAATTGAGGATAAATTACATAAAACCTTGTAATAAACAAAAACGAGCAAATAGCTGGTCGTCTCGCCAACCACAAGATTCGATATAGATGACAGAAACATAGAACAACGTCTTTCTCAGCTGCAAGCCAGCAGACCATTGAAACACTAAACAGACAGATTTACTCATTATTGATTGAAGGCAAAATTAACTGAATGCATTGTATGTAAGTCTTAATTCATTAACTAGAGAAGACAATATCGTTCATACGGAAGTTCAATCTTACGACTTAATGTTACCCAAACGAGGCATCAAGAGCTGAGTGCTGAGTCAGTTTCACAAGCAAGATCAGTGCTTCATGAACTCAATGAAGCCTAACAATCACATGTTTGCTAACAAAGAACTATTAAACTCATCGCTTAACATCAGATAAGTGAAGCTGGATAACTGGACATCACATTAGTCGTCCCCCCAAAACTCGTCTCCCCAGAACTCTAGTTCATGCCTGGCAAGATACTTCATCGTCTTCTTGCCACGGAGATCTGTTTGAATGAGGGCATAGATTACAACTTATAAGAGTACAGAAGAACAAAGCTTTAATAAACAGAATGGTTTGCTTAACCAATTGGTACAAGAATATACTGGAAAAAAATATCATGTAGCTATACTTCAATTGAGCCATGGTATACAGCATTTCAAGGACAAATAAAGTAGTAGTAGTATAGCACTGGCATTGTAAATAATTATGAAAATCAGTCGTATCAAGAGAGAAGGTATGACTCACATGTGCTACCAGTACGACGGACAAAAATCTTCTCAACTGATACACCATTAGCCTTGAACAACCGTGCCAGCTTATGGACTCGTACGTCATCCTTAGAGCATTTGATCTTCACCATTCGAAGGTGTTTGCAGGCAAATGATCTTCCATTTGGTTTGACACCGAGTTCCATTGCCTTCCTCACATTGAAGTTCTTTTTCCACAAAAACACAATTGTTATTAAACATGTACTGAGATACTCGAAAACTCAAGTAGCATACAGAAGATATGTAAATGTTCATACCAGTTTAAGTTCAAGAAAAAGCTTCTCCAAATTAGGTGAACACTGCAGAAAGAGGAGTAATCGATCAAAGTCAGCAGCCATAGACCACTCGCCAAGGGACAAGGTCTTCAGGTTGCTAAAACTTGGGCAGCTCTTCAGTTCTCCGGTCAGAATCACCTTGATAGCATAAAAATAAGGTTTTAGTCTTTCAGCAAAGAAGAATAGGCATTGAATCAACCTTCATTTGCGAAGGCAAGCAATTAATTCACAATTCAATAAGCAAAGAAGGAAAATAAACATAAAGAAATGACAAGTGATTATCCCCTACAGTGAGATGCATCTTTATTTTCTAGTATGAATGTGTGAATGGGGATTGTCCAATAGAGTTGTGTCAAGCCACAAGGTTTCTATGAAGTAATCATGTGCTTATACATAAACAGCAGCTATTTGAGGAGATTCAGCTGTTATGCTTCATGAGGGAACTCAAATTACTATCTTTAGCTGAACTCTTTCTTAAGTCCGGCAGAGTAAAAATCAGGTAGTGCTAGTATGCCACTAAAGAGCAAAATGTATAAAATAATAACACAGTGATGTATTGCCAAAAGGATATCATGTTTTGCTAAAATGGGATGTGATTTTCTTTTCGAATATGAAGGTAAAAATGGCAATAGTCCGTAGACTGATGTCGAGACTAAAACAACTCTAATAAATTAATACTATGCTAATGCATAGTTAGCAATTATTTCAGGAGATGCCCTGTTGCAAAAATAAGAAATGACAAACGATGCTCCCTTGGCCAATCTATTCCTTATCTACATAGTTAATGGAAAACATACAACTGCTATCTATTCAAATTCTTTCACAGATTAGCTTCGAGTAATGAAACAAGGCGATGCTACTAGCACGCTACTAATAAAGGACAAAATGCACAAAATATTTGCCTTTGACACCCTGTGATTTAGTGAAAACTTAAATAGGGATTTCATTGGAAAAAACCAAGAATAGACTATTCCAGGATGATAATTATGACTATGTCCAATGCACCATGAGAGAACATACTCCACAAGAGATACAGACATAAGACAAAAGCAAAAGGAAATGATTTTTGTACCTCTCCAGCATCTGCTAACAGCTCCAAACTTGTAGCGTTTGAAAGGCTGTGAATAATATTATGGCCACCTGAAATTTTACTGTCACTGCATCCAGAATTTTCACCATGCGCCCAAAGGTTACCATCTTTCGTTGAACTATGTCCAACATCATCATAACCAGATCCATCAAAGTCACTTGCAATCTCACTATATTCGTAGGTATTATCATCACTTTCGATATCGCTACCATAATCAATAGCATCCTTGTATCCACTAGGCCTATGTCTTTTCTGAGGTAAACCAAATCCATATCCAGCTCCAGTCTTGGGCCTCCATTTGTTACCATCATCACTGTCATCATCAGTGGTTTCATCAAGTTCGTCCTTGCTGAAGTCCTCAAAATCATCACTGAAACAATAGTCATCAAGTATGATGGTGCCTGCAACAATCGACCCCAAGTTGTTAAAAGATGGAGCTTGGCCGATTGGCTTAACACAGCGCAGCAGCACCAGGTTCGGAGCAGTGATAGTGAGGCCCCAAAACATGTTGCATTTGACCATCGCCAAGGTCTTCAGAGAGGAGGACGAAATCTCACTGCCCGAAATCAGGCAATCCTTGAGATCCATTTCCTCCAAAGACGGGCACCGAGAAGAAAGCTGCGTGAGGAGGTTGTCATCGAGCCGGGCGTAGGACAGCTTCAAGATCCTGAGGTGGCGGGAGACGAAGGCCGCGTGCTCCAGCGCCGCGAGGCCGTCGCGATGCCCGATCAGATGAACGACTCGAGCCCTGCGCTTGACCGCGGTACGGATCCAGGACTTGGCGTCGTCCTCGTCGAATGCGCCGTCGACGTCGCTGGACCGCAGGCGGAGCGTGTCCACGGGGGCCGACGCGTCCCGGCGGCGGAAGAGGCTGCGCGCGAAGCGGGCGAACTCCTCCGGCGCGGTGTCTCCGTCGGGGCGGCCAGGGCGGAGGCGGAGGTCGACGCAGGGCGCGGACGCCCAGAGGTGGCGCCACCGCCGCGCGAGCACACAGGTGCGCACCACCTCCCACGCCTTGAGCGACGACATCACGTGGTGCAGCAGCGCGTCGGGGAGCGCGCTGAGGCGGTCGGGCGATGGATGCGCATCTTCCTCCTCGCCCGCACGGCGCCGTCGCGGTGGTGACCGCCGGCGCATTTCGTCGAGCAGGTGGTGGCCCTAGGTTTTCGCCGAACACGAGGAGGTGAGGAAACGAGGAGGAATGGAGGAATGGTGCCGGCCTGCGGTTTATGTGTCGCCGCTTCGGGACCCGTGATTTCAAAACTCAAACGGGGTCACGGAGGAATGGTGCCGGCCTACGGTGGCGTTTGGACTGTGGGAAATAGAGGGTGGGATAGGGAAACGAAGATTGTATCCCTTGTTTGGATACCAGGATACGGAAATGAAGAAGGTTTGGGATAGGGATAGGGATAGGGATAGGGACAGAGATAGGAGGCAGCATTTTCCTAGTGATCTTTTCCCAATGAAGGGGGTGGGTTACGTAGGGAAATCGGCTGCGTTCTTTTAGATTGATCTCTAACTTAACTGGACCTAACGGCCTAGTTGGACCTTTGATTCGCGCCCTGATCAGGGGCGCTCAGCCCACCATGGCTGGAGGGCCCTTGTCACCCTACGCTATAAAAAGAGGTGGGGGCCGGCGGCTCTTATCACGAGATTGACCTGAGCCGAGCTCCCCACAGACACCCAAACCCTAATCCGATCTAGAGGGGCGCAGCCAGTGACGGAAAGCTACCAGCCGCGCCGCCTCTGCACCTAAACCGAAGGGCTGCCACGACGCCTGACTTCACTGCGTCGGCATCGGTCTTCACCGCCGGTCGCCACTGCTCTTCACCGTCCGCTTCCCCGACCATCGCTGCCCGTGCACAGACTACATCGACGAACGTGATGGAGGCCTCTGGATCTACTCCCTCTATGGTGTCAGGTTCGTCAGACCTCATCCATCTCCCTCTGTTCAACAACGAGTGTCCTAGGTCACTGATTCATCATGTAGCCCCTCGGATCTATCCCTAGTACGATCTACAGTTTTAACATTGGTACCAGAGCCGCGTTTGTTCTAGGGTTTTAGATCTAGAATGGGTAAACCGATTAGAAAAGGATAAGAAAATTAGATCCAGTGCGGCTCTAACAAGAAGAGGGTTCGGTTGAACCCTAACCCTAACTGGGTTAAGCAAATGAGAAAAGAAGAGGGTTCGGTTGAACCCTAACCCTAACTGGGTGAAAGAAAGAAGAAGGAGGGCTCGGTTTCACGTCTATGCCGAACCCTAAAACCACAGAGTCCCTCTGGAGAAGATAAACAGTGCCTCTCCCGTAACCCTAACCCTAATCGGGTTTATCCCAAAAGATCCAAAGAAGGGGAAAAGGGGAAGAGGGAGACCCAAAGGGCTTACCTCGCCGTCGTGCAGACCGGCGCGCGGGGAGAAGAAGGCCGAGCTCGAGGGGAACTGCTCGCCGGACTCAGGCCATAGGGGCGCTGCGGCCAGGCCGCTCGACGGCGGCATGCTCACCCGCTAGGGAGCGCGCACGCCGGTGAGGGGGGTGGCGATGGCGTCGGGGCTCTCTGCTCGGTCACCGCCGCCGCTTGCTTGCTCGGTGCTGCTGTGCTGAGGAGAGAAGAGAGAGCGGCGAAGAGAGAGAGAATGGAACAGAATGGCGCTAGGGTTTGAAGCCAGCCGCTGCGGTCGCCGTTTTGTTAATGCGACGCGCGCGGACGACCGTCGGATCGGCGCGGACGGCTCAGATCAAGTGGGCCAGCGATGCGGCCCAGGCGGGTGCACACGGACGAGTCGCTTTGCTGGCCTAGGCCCAGGTTGCTGCTTGGGTGCGACCGGGCGCCGCGCAGAGGTGTGGGCCGAGCCGGCTTTTGTCGGTTTTTGGGCCGAAACAGTCAGAATGAGCCCGTGAGCCGATTTTTTCTTTTTTCCAGAAGATTGGAAAATGGAAATTAGCTCAAAAGAAATTAGAAAAGTGATTTTTCCCTGTGGGTAAAATTCAAGAAAATAGTTCATTTTTTCGCTGCGTATTTAAAGATGTAATTTTCATTATTAAATTCGAACCAACGGGAGAATTTAATTCTAAAAATAGATATGTTTTAAATTGATTATAATATTGTTGTTATTCTGACCAACGTTGATTAATGGCAATATTATGATGTTTTGTCTTGCATTAATTCTATTTCTGCCCAACGGTGATGTAGAATTAGTGTAGAGGATAATTGTATGTTTTAATTTTGACCAACGTTGAAACTAAGGCATGCAATTGTTATTGTTATTATTTATGTTCTCACACTATTTGAATTGTGTTTTCAGGCGGATACAACTTGATGAGTTGTATCAAAGAGATCCCCGCTCTCAAAGGTGATAACTACATTGAGTGGAAGAAAAAGATCGACATGGCCTTCATCTTGGCTGAGGTGGACTGGGTAGTCACCACACCGTGTCCCACAGAGCCTGTGGCACCGGTGAGGGAGACAAACGAGGCTGATGCCGCATGGACAACCAGAGAGAGGGATTTTGCATTCCAAAGAATGTCCTATGACCTTGAGCATAGAAAATGGGTCACTGCCAACAAGAAGTGTTTTGCTGTGATAAAGAACACGATTGAGCCTACAATTGTGGGTTCAATCCTAGAGTGACACCGTCACTGAGTATCTCGAAAGAATAAAGAGTCAGTTCACTGGCTCTTTAAAGACATATGCTACCCAGCTGATAAAGCAGCTAGTGACAGAGAGGTACTTAGGTAATGGTGGTATTAGAGAGCACATACTAAGGATGAGTAATTTGGCATCCAAGCTAAAACCAATGGATCTGGCTCTCAAAGATGAGTTCTTTATCCATCTGATTTTTGCTTCCTTGCCAAAAGAGTTTGACACTTTTGTTGTCAACTACAACATAAAGCCCGAGAAATAGGACATGGAGAGGCTCATGGCTATGTATGTGTAAGAAGAGAAGAGAATGAAAGCTACCAATGGTGGCTTCATCAATTATTTGAAAGACAATAAAAAACAGAATAATAATGCTAACTTCTCCTCAAAGTCAAAAGGAAAGAGTCACATGCTGCATAAGCCTCAGCAGAACCAGTTCACAGTAGAGAAAGATCAGTGTCTCTATTACAAAAAAGACGGGGCATTATAAGAAAAATTATCCCGATTACTTAAAGGTGATTATGGCAAGGAAAGGTGAGAACATTATTACGTTCATAAATGAATTCCTATATGTATAGTATTCAAAATCTACTTGTTAGATTGACTCAGATGCAACTGTTCATGTTGCTAATTCTTTACAGGAATTCCATTTGACGAGGTTGACTTGAGCCGAGCTCCCCACAGATACCGTCAGGTGTGTTGGAGCCGTCAGGTGTGTTGGAGCCGCCGCTTCACTCGCGTGCATAGGGCGCAGGAGGCAGGACCCTCCGCTCATCGCGTTCTGGCCCTCACGGCCTCACCGAATGAGGATGGGGACGAGCTGACGCTGGGTACGAGAAGAGGTCTTGGGGATGCAGACGAGATGACTCTGCTCGCTGGATTGAGCGGATGAGGATGAAGCAGTACATGCGTGTATGTGCTTTTTTTTAATCTCACTTGATAAATGCCCATGCGTTGCAATGGTATAACAATAAGACAATAGCACTTTAAGTTTACTATTGTGTTGTATCATTACAAATATAGCCAAACATCTCTTACACGAGTGTCAATGAAACACCAGAAAATTGACACCGGAAACACATAATTCAAATTTATCTTTAAAACACAACTCTCTATTTCAAAATATTATGTCTGTCTATAAATCGCCAGGAGTTCCCATCATCATATATTATAGGCCCCGTTCGGCTTGCTGAATCGTGGCTAAAACTGGCTGAATTCTTGTGAAAGGAAAACACTGTCCTAGCTAAAAAAAACAAGCTGAATATTGCCGTTTTCTGGGTAAGCCGAATGGGGCCATAATAATCCAATATTCAGCACGCTAGGCATCTGACACCGGCAATCCCACAACCATTTCTCATCCCAAAACTGTGTCTTGTTTTTCAGGCCTTGTTTAGTTGGTAAATTTTTTTGGAAAATAATACTGTAGCATTTTCGTTGTTATTTAGTAATTAGTGTCCAATCATAATCTAATTAGGCTTAAAAGATTCGTCTCGTGAATTTCGTCTAAACTGTATAATTAGTTTTATTTTTTATTTATATTTAATGCTTCATACATGCATCCAAAAATTCGATGTGACGGAAAATCTTAAAAAATTTTGGAAACTAAACACCACGTCAGTCATCTAACACCAATCCCACAACCGTAAGTGCTATGTTTCACCCCTCCGGAAACCATAATAAAACATGATCGCCCCTGTCATCCGAGACCGCACCTCACCTCATCCCAACCATCTCACTTACCTGTGTCACTGCCATGGACACACTTGTTAAAGATTCCCAATCTTACTGCATGTAGTAATCAAATCAATAAGTTATTAGGCATCCTTCATATTTAGTGCACAATCTCATTAGCAGGAAAATTCAGTAACGTAAGCACAATCTCATTAACAGCTTAGAGCTATGATAACTCAATCAAATAGACGTTTAACTATTGCCAAACCTGAAAAGTAGCCGGAAACACTGGAGAAACCATGATAATCATGCATTATTATAGGAATAAACTTCTCTTGTAGAAAAGATTTAACATTTTAAAGAACTGATGTGAGGCTGGCTGGGCTGTCATCGTTTGATTTTTTTTTTGCGCTAACCATTTACAAGACCAGACAATAACCAATGACAAGCCACTGACCGTAGTTTTACGCTTGACGAAGACGAATCTGTTAATGGTGGCGCTAGTCCTCGAGCACCTTGTAGGCACAACAGATACCACTGCAGGAGAATGATCTGCTATGTCGATGATGTTTGAAGGATCTGTAAGGAAAATGGACCCTAAGTCCATTTACTTTGGATTTTGGTGTTTGATAACCAACACAATCAAATTGGACTAATGAATTTACAAGTGATTGTTTTGTAGTTCAATAGGATGCAAGACGTGACTTGGACGAAGGCGACGTGATGTTCCTACGATTAACACCATAAGCAAGACCCTAAAAGCACAAGAGAAGACCCAAGATATCAAGCAAAGTCCAAGCATTAGATAGGAAACAAGCCGGACGCA